TCGCCCACGTCGCCGGCCGCCTCGCCTGGGGGCAGCGTGCAGATCCAGCTGCGGAAGGGCGGCAGCTACTGGGTGAAGGGCGGACTCAGGCGGGGAAGTAATTACGTCGGGAACTGAAACTCTCCCTGCTGGGTGAGACTGGTGGAATGTGGTGGGCTTCCTCGTCAGATGAGACATTTGATGACATTTAACCTATATAGGGATCCAAGTACCTTCTCAGCAGGTGATGTGTTCGACACTGTTATGTAGGTGAGGTTCGGTACGACCGGATCCCTACATTAACTTGAAGATCCGTTTTTTGAACGCGTTGCGTTTGACCCGTGATGTAGTTCCAACGCACGGAGTTGGACCGGCGCTTAATAATCGCCTCGAGCCAAGAGGCCACACGTGTACCACCGTGTACCCGCGTTTTTTCCGAGGCATGTCGGACAGGGCACGACGGGCGCTGAAGAAGGCCGTCAAAATCCAAGAGCTCACAATTAGTCATAACCCCTAGCCGCCCTAGCCGCCCTAGCCTTCAAAGACCATTAAAACATGATTTATATACCTGATTTTGTAGTGCGAAATCCTTAGTATAGCAACAATGGTTCTTTGGTAAAGACCATTGCATTAAATCAATGGTTGTTGGAATCTTGCTGGGGTATATAACTTATATAACCATTTGCTTCATGAACCGCTTAGTTTTTGCAGCAATTTGGTTCTTGATTGATCATCTTCTCAACCTTTACAGGAGCCTCTTTGGTTTCCCACTTAGTGGCGCCTCCACCTAGCCCAATCTTGGATACGGTCTCAGACGTATCCGAATGGATTCCAAGACCTCGGTGTTTCTCACGCGCAACAGGCACACCGGACCTGTTCTTTCTCTCCGCGGACCCACCGGATTAAACGAAAGAACTGAACCGAACCGCCTCTCGAGTCGAGGTATGTGGTCCAAGGGCGGGAAGTGGGGATTCTTGGCCAAAGACGCGGTTCGGTTTTCGTCTGCACCAGCGAGCACGAGGTCGAAGCACCGAGGTTAGTTCATCTTGATGGAGAGGGAAGAAGCGGTTAAAACATGTTAACGCTTGAAAGTTCCTTCGTGCAAGGGATCTGAGTTGGTTAAAAGGGATCTGAGTTGGTTTTGGAGGTCCTTAGTGCAGGAAAGCACGCATTTGGTGTTTTTTCGCCAAGTCGGTGGTCGGGACGACCATCGTCGGGACTGGTGCAGTCGAATCCGGTGAACAACTGCCAGCCAACCACTTGGAGTGGGAACAATCAAACCATTATTTTCTCACACCCAGACACTCCATGGGACTGCCATGCCTACATTGGCCCCCAAAACGGCCCCAATGTAGGTAAATATGACATACAAGGGTGGTTAGATGGATAATGCCAATGCATTTTCAAGGGGGTCTATAAGCCAACCTTTGGGTGGTGCTGGTATTTTCTTGTTTCTCAAATGACTTTGAGAGTGACCCGAAGCGATTTCGTGAATCGTGACGAATGGCGAAAGACACCTGCGTGAAGCGAACGCAGTAGCAACCGCCTTTCAACATCCCCCCGTCAGACGATGTCCGGCCTGGCTGGCAGTCTTGAAAAGCCGAAAAGTGCCTGGTTGTCGCATCAGGATTGTGAATCCGGATCCAGTCGTACCGAACCTCACAAGGTACGACTGGACCCGACGTTTTGGCACCTACATAACAGTGTCGAACACATCACCTGGTGAGAAGGTACTTGGATCCCTAGGGAATGGAGTTTAGATTTCAATGACCAGAATGTTGCATTGCTTTCGGCTTCTATTGGCATGGACAGAGTTTTTGTGGGATCAAGGGCCACTTGCTGCAAACAGAAGAGCGGCATCCCAAGCACTCCATGTATGGATTGGCCCCTGAAACCGCCATGGAGTGTTTGGGATGTGAGAATCTAATGTTGACCGACATCAGGTTTGACAACGTCAGACGTAGACATGTGTCATCAGGACGCAGCCTTTGGCTTATTTTGGACGGTCGAAAAGTCACCAGGAAGACATTTAAAAATATATCTGTAGACTGCTGTAGACTGTTATGCAATTTTTGTAATCTATTTTTCTAAACTTTCGCGTGCTGCTGATCCAGATCTGGTGTTCCTCCAACCGTTTCTCCACCATTAAAGATGGGTGTGACTGGCGAGCGTAGCTCCGCCGAACCCGACAGCGAACCCGCCACGGACAGCGCGGCCGCCTGAGGATTTGCCGGGACTTTGCCAAAGCCACCTGCACTCGTGGGCTGAGATGTCCTTACGCACATCCCTGCCGATGCCTGTCCTTTCAAGTAAACCGTATGCAACAAATGTTGTCAAACAGGAAAGGGGGTTGAATGAGACTGGGACTGGTGCATTGCGCTGGTGTGGGGAGTTTGAGATCTGAGACTTCAAGGAGTTGAGACTTCCCAGGTTGTGAGATGTTTTGAGGACCGGGATCAGAAAAAGATGTTGATTTTCCTAGGGAATCCAAGTACCTCCTCAAAAGGTACGACTGGACCCTCCAACCCCCCCCCCCAGTCCCACCTTCTCAGAGGGCATGGATCCTTAGGGTGTGTACAAGCTGGTGCTCTTCAGCTGGTGCTCCCGAGCTGAAAGCTACAGGGAGCTGAGGAGCCACAGGGAGATTCCACGTTCACCCCTTGCAAGCCAGTGTAGCACACGATTGACGCAAGGGTTTCAGCTATGCTCCTGGAGGGGGTTGGGTTGGGTTGGGTAGAATCTTCGAGAGTTCCTCCTACTAGTATAGAGGACGACAAGTTGTTGCAAGGGAGTGCAGATGAACAGGACAGAATCTGCTGGAAGTGGTGACTTTGACTGTGCCTCAGACTTGGTTCACTTCGACTGGTTGTGGTCGCACTTCGTTTTTGGCCCAACGAACGTCCCCAGGACTTCCGGAAGGCAACCCCTTCAAGCAGTTGCGGGCTGTTCCCTGCGGTCTTCTTGCCAGGAAAGGAAGAGAGATGTCGAAACCCCAGCTGCATCTTCAGCCATCCGGAGGAAGAGGAGGAGTCAGGTTCCGACACCTGGGCTTCCAGCGTGGGGGGTTTGCTGGTGTCGGAAGTTTGGGTTAACAATTGACCTAGATGATGTAGACATGTAGACTCTCTTGATTGATACACCCCCCCTCCATTTGAATTGAACACCCTCTTCAAAGCAGTGTATTAATTAATCAAGAGTCTACATTAGGCAAGTGAGATAGTATAAAACCCCCCATGCAAGAAATTGGTATTTGCATGTCCGTTTTTCTGGAAGCGTGCTCAATCCCCTGTAAAACGATAAGGAAGAAAAAAGCAATGATAACCCCCGATGACTCTTGTGGAAAACCCTTGACATGCGAGACGTGGTGTGAAGAAAACGCATGCACACACAAACAGAAAACCTACTACTGTTCCAAATTGGGAGGGCTTGGACAGCTGTAGCCTTGTGCTGAAGCATTGTTGTGCCACATGGTTTTCCAACTTGCACCCGGCATGAAAATGATGACAAACCGATAACAAAAACGATAACACAGCGAACCTAAAACACCTTTCCGTAGGCAGGCCACCACATGGCGTAGTTGGAATGAAGTGTGCCTAATGCCTTCATACGTGCAAGGCTCCACACACCACATGCATGTAGTGCACAGACTACATTACAGTATACTACATTTGTTGCAGTTAGTCAAAGAGCTGTAAAACGATAATAAGGAATAAAAAGGAGACCCCACCCGTCGCGGGTGTCTGGAACATGCGTGTGTAAGGGATGGCAGAGCAGTAATGTTCTTTCTCAACTAACTTATTTGGTACGTGCGCGTGTTGAAGAAATGCATTCTACAATTCTACAATCATATTGAAATCCATTCAAACGTTAGCCGAGGAAAGCATTTGTTTTTCCCACCTAGCTACTTGATATGTGGCGGAAATCTGCCATCGGAAAACACATGGTTGTCATAGCACGTTGTTGTGTTTTCAACAGCAGGACTGACTCCTGTCACAGCCTACTTCACACCTTCGGCTGGCTACAGCTCAACTTGGGACACACACTCTCGGACACATGCGGAAACGCTATGGTTTGACCAGCGGCAGTTTGCACCAACCCGGAGCAATTGGTGTCCTGTCGTTGATTCCATCATATGTGTCTCCATTGGGACAATGCAAGCCAGGCGTGTTGGCGGCCACTTGGAAAACATGAAAACACGAGTCCTTGTTATCCATTGGCCGCTGGTTCTTTGTGCAGCGTGACACAGCGAACTTGTTTTGTCTTCTTGTGGCGCTGCCACTTGTTGCTGCCAAGGAGTATGATGACGGTGATGATGGGGATTTCTTCGCACCAATTTGCAAGTTCTTCGCCTCTCGATTTGACAATCCACTTCATTTGATATTTTCTTTGAAGCAGTGCATCTGAACACCTTGGCAGTCCGTCCAAGGAAGTAGCTAAGCATGTTGTGAGACTGGGACCCTTTGATCCCCGATTCATTCAAAATCACATAGAATATATCATACTTTTGGACTCTTTCTTGCTTCCACGCTACATAGTGACGGGCAGCCACTCAACATATTTTGTGTTTTATGCATGTTTTGGGAGGTTGTTCTCAGTGATGTGGTCTATAGGACACAGAGTACGTACGTGGCCACGAATATTGAACACAACAAAACACAGACCGAGACCTCCTAAAGCTATATCAGATGTTCTAAGTCAAGGATCTTGTATGTTTGGATACATTGGTTCGTTCCAAGCGCTTGACTCCGCTTGACCATAGTGAATCGCGTTGGTACTGGCATCACGACATCTCCAAGCATCTCCCTCCCAGGCACCAGTTCGTACCGGCTTCGCAGACAGAAGTACCCGGTTGGGGGTTGGTCCTATTTACTTTCAACGGTCGGCAAACAATTTTCAGTCATCATCATCATCATCATCATCATCATCATCATCATCCACATCCTCCACTGTTACTGGTAATGGGATAGGCCCAAGAAATACTAACCATTGGCCCAATGGTTGGGCATCTCCTTCAGGCATTCAGCTCAGATGGCTTCATGTTGTCAGGTCACCCCCTCGTGCAAGCCTCCGGCTTTGAGGGCTCTTTGTTTTCCACGCATTTTTTCCAGGCTGCAGCTGTCAATGAATTATAAGGGAACATCTGCAGGAAACAGGAAACCCATAGGAAACCCATAGTTGTCAGATTCTAAACCATAGTTTCCTGTAGATTTTCCTTGTACCCCATTCATTGAGGTTGTGCTTGGCACTTGGCACTTGGCTCGTGTTGCTTTCGCTTCGGCGCTCAGGTGCGCGGGGCTTGCACTCGAGGAGATGCCTGCAGATTCGTGCATCCCTGCAGTGCAGGCCAAAGCTGTCGCAAGCGAAACTGCGCTCTTGACCATCCACGTGCGCCCTAGCACCACGCCTACTACCACGCCTTGGCACTGCATTCCTGCCGCAGCGGTCAGCAGCAGCGGTCCAAGCGGCGGGCGGTCCGCGCTGGTGCAAGCAACAAGTGTCATTCAGCGTTATCAACGATGAAGGTCATGTGTAGGGTTTGAAATAACACGATGGGCCTGAATGATAGGTCACGTATCATGTTGCTTGGACATGTCAATCACGATAGGTCATGAATGTCTATGGGAAAGATAGGTACTGTATATAGGGTTTGTCCTATTACCTGTAACAGTCAGTACACGTTTATCACTATTGTTGAACTGTCGGCCTTCAACTGAACCATCATCAGCCACTGGGCCCCAGGTAATCGGATAGACCCACGTCATGTATAGGGTTTGTCGGTAAACACTTATCACTCTGTCGGGAAGCAAGGCCTGACAGACCCTCACCATCATCATGTGGGCCTTGGGTCTATGGCCCTAGGGCTTCTCCCTTCCTCCACCATGGTTTTTCATAGGCTGAATACCGAACCACCTTACTGAGGAATTTATATACACCAATTACAACAACAGCTTCACCTTTCCTTTAAAGGTGGAACTGATGGCTAGCGGCTAGGGATATGCCCAAGTCGGGTATATATATATATAGCTTGATGACGAGGCAGACAGACCGGCACCGCCCGCTGTCGTGAGCTTCGCTGAGCTGGCGCCCCTCCTTCCGTTTGAAGGAGCGGCGCGGTAGACGTCGGTCTGACGTGACGCAAAAGGTGACGTGACGATGAGGCAGCTTCTTTCGGACGGAGCGAGCGAAGGCCACAGAGGGGTTGGAGAGAAGGCATAGAGGTTTTAAGCCTAGCCGTCTCGCAAGGGCCGTAGGTTTCCAACTATGAGGTCATAGATGAGGTCTCTTTCGGAAAGTCCTGCGCTTTTGTTTCTATTCACCTTCTTGTTTTGGGGGGGGCATGTGTGAGAGCATGTTCATTCCCTTGAACCCAGAATGGAAGATGTATTGTTTACAGGTCAATCAGGGAAAGCAGGGAAATAGAGCGAGAGAGAGGGACACTCTAGGCCTCTAGGCTTCTGTGACGACAAGCTAAAGCCCCCACTTATACTGAGATTTGAGAGCTGCATTTTTTGCTACAGAGGTCTCACAAGATGAAGTGGCATTGTTAGAGAATATGCCATTTGATGCCATACAATCGCATACGTGTTCAGAACAAAGTATGATCTTGACTCTTGGAATGGGAAAGAAATGGAAGGACGCTCATCTCGATTACATTGCACACATTTCTCCAAATTACATAAATGAAGTGAGACAGATCAGAACAAACAGGTGCTTGTGTTTTTTTTTTTTAATTCACGTTGTGTTGCTTGCCATGTTGCCGGCCTTTCCTCAAGTTTCACCAAAAATGAAAGCACTTCTTGCAAAAGGGGGGATGTTTCACCAACAGCCGCCCAGTCTTGGTCGACCCAGCTTGGAGAACTAAAAAACAACAAAGAATCTGAAAAACCAGTGAGATCCAGAAATACTTACTTCACCCCATGTTCACACTTGTTTCACCCAGTTTTGAGCGACCCACTTGCAAAACATCCGACAACACGTGATCCAGCGCGCTGGTGTCCTGCAGCGCCATGCGCGTGGCATGTCGCGCCGTGCCGAAGGGGTGGCTTTCATGGGGGCGGCGGTACTTGAGCCGGCAAAGGGGCGTGACCTAGGCTGATGAGAGAACTCGTTTTGCTTTGTTGTATGTTTACAGTACATAAGCTGACGTCTATAGAACAAGTATTGGAGGCCGTGTTTTTTTACATTGTTGCACTGCTTTATGGTGAGCCTGCACATTGAGCATGAAGACTGCGATCATTGGCGATCACTGCAGACGAGTCACAAAAGTTTGCCTGTCAGCCTTGTTTCCACCCAGGAATCAGACACTCACATGGAGAACCTGAAAACCACTGGGTTGTAGAGGAAAATAGTCTTCCAAAGGTCCATGTTCGGTTACAACGTTAGTTTTCCGGAGTGTAGAGAAAACAATCCCAAGACAGTTCCCATGACTTGATATCGGCCTGAGCACTTCAATTCGACACATCCGGAGACACATCGTCATTTTTTGTCGTTTCGATGAGACTCATGATTGCAGATTCACGCCTTCAGTAGATGAAACATCCAAGTGAGAAGGCTGTTTACCTTCATGAGCGGTTTCTGTTTAAAGTATACTTCAATGTTGGTCAGTTTGCTGTGTTGACGCTTCTGAAAAAATCCAAGGTGATGGTGCAATGGGACAATGAACGAGGCTTCGGCAAGGCGCATAGCTTGAATGTTTAGTCATTTGCGACAGGGGCTGCAGCTTGAAGGGCATTCAGCATTCTTAAGTTTGAATCTGCGGACCAGCACCAGGGCAAGACCGAAACAAAATACACATTCACTGGGTCCCCGACGATAGTGGCACGGCTTCCAATACATTTCTGCTGTGCCGGCACAGCACAGCATGAAACATCGGCACAGTCCAGGTGCAGAGTACCGATGGGCGTGAGCTCTTTGTCCACAAGAGCTACCTGAGAGAGGCGTGAGGGTTATTTATGCTTCACCTATACTACTGGAATCATCGTGGAAAACACATCTGTTTGGTATTAGGAACATGATCTTCTTTTTGGGGCCATGCTATCTACATAGCCATGATTCGAGGGAGTGTACCTACCCACCTGGTTTGCGAGGTGTATACCTGCAAAAGCTTGACAGTGGCGGCACAACGTGTTTTGAACCGGTCCACCACAATTTCACTTCGAAGAAAACAACTGTCCCTGCCTGTGACAACAGTCCAAAAAGACATCGCATCATCACTATCTTAGATATGTTTGCAAATGTTAGTCAGTGGGGATTCCTTATTTACCTTCACCCGCCCTTCGCTATGCACTGTCACTAGTGGAGGGGCCGCCTCCAGTGAATCTTTCGATGCTTACTGAGTCATACAGCCCAGTGCTTTGAGGATTCGTCAGAAATCCCTTGAAGGCCCTTTGCATTGGACCGAGGAAGTGTGGACTTGTAGGATGGGTTGAGAAGTTGAGAGGTGTTGGTCGCCATGGGGGGGGTCTTGTGGATTTCCCCATGCTAGTCAGATATGATATGCCAGGTTTTGTGATTTTCAGGTGATTATATTTTCCCGAAGGTTAAATCACGAAAGCTAGCGTCAGCCAGCTCCTGCTTTGGCTGGGGGATTGAATGAGCTACCCAGTGAATAATTCATGTGTAGACCTCCCCGTCCCGGCAGGTTCAACTCTCCCCTCCCCCACATCTGATCAAGGCATCGGAGAGGTCAATCCACTAGGTCCTTTGACTGTAGGTCAATGCACGGCAACCAGAGACCTACCTACCATTAAAAAAAAGCAGAAGTGCGCTCTCCGATACCTCTCGCCACATCTCGTTTCTAAGCCATGCTAGCTTTCCTCACCAAGCCCCCTGGCATGGGGAACATGGTGGAATGTTTTTTCTCCAGGCTTTCCTGGGAGCAGCCAATCCAAGTATGACACGATAAATCACGGTTGCACTCTCAGTGGACACTCCGCAGCCATGTGTCAAGGTGGTATGCAATTCACGCCATGAGCCACAAGGTGGCCCTTCTTTTGGGCACACCAGCTGACGCCGACCACTTCTCGCGGGGGTACTTTGACCCCCCCCCAAACACTCCCCACACACCGTGGCGCACACCGTCCTCGTGCTCCAGCTCGCGAGGCCGTCACGAAGGGCGCAGCGGTGGACTTCGAAATTTCCTGGGTCGAGTCCAAGCAGCAGGACGAGTCCGAGTCCACAAACTGGAGTGGTTGGAAGGTGTCCATGAGTCCGGTCTGTCCGAATGTGACCGGTAAAGAGCCGTGAGTAAACAATGATCACTACTTTGGGACAAGGCATCTAATAACCATCATCATCCACTGTTACAGGTAATCGGATAGACCCAATCCATGCAGATTTTTTGTGAAGGTCCCTCCTCCAGGTGCCAAAAGGTCCGACGAAGGTGTGTGAACGCAGCAGCTTCGTGGGAGGCGCAGCAGCTTCAGGCATCCGTGAATTGAAGTTGGCCATGACCATCAGCGCGTTTCCCACCCAACTCTCAAGGATTTTGGCAGACCATCTGTTCCAGTACCCAGACACGACAAATGGGACTGCCTGTCCGGACTGCCGCCCCAGAAAGACCCCCCTGGCACCACCACTCCACCTGATCGGTATATGCCAGTCCCATGCAATACGTCTCGGGTATCGACTCTATGGCTTCCCTAAGCACCATCGGCCGTTTGGTAGTTTCGCGGGACACCAACTCGACTTAATTATTCAGAACCAATTCGCGGGCCTTTTCGCATTGGTGCTTGGATCAACAAGATCCGGCGTGAAGTTTTAGGGCCACCAGCGCATCCGCGCCCTTCAAAAACCAGCGCATCCGCGCCCGCGAAGACGTGAAGCTGATAGGACCATGCCAAAGATGTGCAGCTGTTGAAGCCGGGGACAGGCCAAGATGCCACGTGGGGGGGCGACCAGGGCTGAAGGATGTTTTGGTGCGGGAAACCCGTCAATTCAATGTGAGAGAATGAAGAATGTGTGTGCTGTGTGTTTTGCAGGAGTCCATGACCCTGATATATTCCAGACCATCCATGGGACTGGAATGAATAGTTTATATAATACATGGATGGGTCATCAATGGGGTAGATGTAAACAACATTAAACAACTATTTCATACATGGATGGTTTGGTTTAGATGATGTTCGTCCACGATCTGCAGGATCCACACCGGAAGCGATCGAGACGGAGGGTGACAGTGCCTTCGCGGTGCCTTCGGCAGTGATCGTCTCTGGCGTTTTGGTCATCGCCGGTCGTCAGAATCCAGGCCCCACCAAATGACAACCTGGAAACCCAGTCCCAAGTGGAAACAGTTCTGGGTTCTCTTTGCCTTCTTCCAAGAGAATGCTTGCTTGAGATCCTTGATATGGAATTGTGGCTGGGACTGGGGAAAACATCAATTTGTTTCTGGAGCAGATTACCGAACCTGGTCCCTACAACGAGAGCCACAACTGGACAGGAACTTTGCACTATTGGTGCTCATAAGTTGTCCTTCGCGTTTTTGTTGGTTTGTTTTCCTCCAGTTGCATTCAATATGGGCATCCAGAGTTCTATGATGGTTGAAGCGGGCCTTTGCTTGTGCCGTTTTGCACCCTCCCGTTGACGAAGAATAGATGCAGCTGTTCAGTTTCTCCTGAACTGAATGGTATAGTATGGATGGAGCTGCTGCACAACAATAATTTAAATCTATTGTATTGAAATTTGGGGTGATTCCGCAGACAAGCCACCTGGGACGACCAGGATGTTGTGACCGGAAGACCGTTGTGAAAGGCATCAACTTGTGGTGCTTCTTGGCGCCGGAGCACGGTCTTTTTCCTCGACCCAATTCCACCATGTGTAATGTATCCTTTTTTATCAATATGTTTGATTGTTATTGTTTGTTTTTTGGTCATTTTTGGAGGTTCTTGTTTGGTTCATATGATTGTGTTTCAAGATTCTGCCACACATTTCCAAGCGTGCAGCCCTCGCCCTCACCACCTGCCGATCGCCGAAAACCGTCCAGGTGGAGAGTGCTCTCGAACCGCCTGACCTGCCTTCCCTCCCAGAACATGCGACCGACCGGCAGCACTTGGAGATGTTGACGCAGCAGCCACTTGGAGGATGAGACACAGGGGGAGCCGTGGCCTGTAACTATTTCACTAGCTTGACAATACTTCAGGGGTTGAATCCACAGGCAAAAGCCATGAAGGCTGACAATTCCAATCACATAATGCCTTATTTCAGGAACCCCCGTGGCTTCAGCAAGACGCTGAACTGCTTCTAAAATCCTCCATGGTCTTTGCCAGTCACACCCGGCTCAGTGCTTAGATTCCTTGTAGGTCTTATGTGTTTATCCCATCGCCCGTGGCTTGACTCGCCGTCTCCGCGGTCCTCCGCGGTCCGCCTCCCGCCTCGCCGCGCAGTGCGACGTCGCGTCTCGCCGCTGGGTGTTGTGATCGATCGAGGATGGATCAACTCCGCAAGCGAGGCAGGCTGCGGAGTGGGCTGCAGGGCCCGCAGGGCCGGACTGACGTCCAAAGGGTAAGACCTGAGGGTGAGACCTGTTGGAGGGTATGACGAGATTCTGAGTCTTTGAATGGGGTGGATGCTTTTGCTGACCTGCACTCTGAGTCTTTGAACTCGTAAAGACTCAAATGTGAACTATGGGGTTCCTTGCCTGATGGGTTTGGCTACCTCCCTCGCTGCACAGTGCTACCCGGCATGGGACTGAGCCCGCGGGCTTTGGCAGAATGGGGTCGCCGAGTCATCGAACTAGTGGTTGGGCAGGCATGCCCATCAAGTAGATGTTGCTTCAACCACAAAAGAATTCTCCCTAATTATAGGACTTTGGGCTCAATTCCAAAATTGTGATTTACAGATGGCTTTGCCCCAAAAAGTTGCCTTTGACATTTGGGCCAGGAGTTCTGGCGGAGGGTGTACTTCTTGGTATGTTTTTGCTGAGCTTCAGGCACGAAAATCTGATCAATCCTCAGCTTTCGGGCAGACTGTTTGAAAGCTTGGGTAGGTGCGTGGGAAAAGGAATATGTATTCCTGATATTCCCTATAATAATGGTACTAAAATAGATGTTCCTTTGATAAACATGTAAAGTATTTCTCATATACATAGGTCCCTGATATTTCCTTCAAAGGGGTGTTCAATGGAGATTCACTAGTGTAGAGCAGTCTGGACCACAAGAACAAAATAATGGTAGGCTTGTTTCATTGTTGCAGAACTTTAATAGGTGGGTAGAGTTCATACAAGGAGGATGTTCTGGACTCCCCGCGATCGCTTACCCTCGCCTGGATGCAGCAACCCCAGGCGTGGAATTCCTTGAACAACGGTGTGCGTGTTCAGTTGTCGTATGTGTATACCTAGAACTCATTTGACCTTTGTTTGATAAGAAACGACCTTATTTTGAGTGGTTTTGGTGGTCCAAAATAGAGGTCATTCAGGTTCTAGGTACATATATGATAAGTACAGACTGTGTATGATATGTTGTTATTTATTTCTTTTTCTCTCTCTCTCTCTCTCTCTCTCCCTGGCACTTTCTGGTCTCGAGGTCATGATACCCAGAAGTTGTTGGTCCAGAACCAGCTGTTTGCCCAGTTCGACCGAGAGCTTCGCGCTCGCGGTGTTCGGCCGAGAAACACCCTCGATGTTCCAAGATTCTCCATGGGACTGGTTTTATTTTGATGTTGCTGTTGGACCCCCAAGGGGTGGTTAATGGACACTAAGGGGCTATAAATAGACACACCTTGGAGGGTCGTGGTATGTTCTATTTGTTTTGAATTGGGGTGGTTCAAAAGGGGTCGATGCACCTGGAAACCCACTCCCAAATGGATGTCTCCCCAGTCCCAGCCACAAACTATGTAAAGGATCTCAATTGGGAATGGGTTTCCAGGTAGGTAACTGGGCGCCCAGCATTCCACAAGGAGACAAGCGTTCGGTTGGAGATTTGGCTGATTCTTGGCAAGCGTGGAAATTGGTTCAACAATCCTCCTGCAAAGCCCAGTGCACTATTATTTCTGCCACTGCGCCACTGTGACCGGTTTCCATGCCCAAATCTGCCACTGCAATTTCAGGCATTTCATGGCTCGAGATCTTTATCATCTTAAACCATCTAACTGGGCAACAGGTTCCCCATAGCATTTGATCGAAAGCACATGCAACCATTGTATGCCACATATCCAGGTCTTGCAAGGTTGTATGTTTTCACTACTTTGCGTTGCCAGCAGCATGGCTTCCGTCAAGATGCTCCATCCATCAGGACAGAAGGGGCAGTCAGTGAAAAAGATGATTCAAACAAACGCTTCAAACGTGTTGTTTCACCATCTTGTTGCCAGTGCTATGAGGTACCGGCTTAACGTTCTGGCATGAACAGTACGGATGCTCACTGCTCGGCTCATGGCCGCAACCTTTCCAACAAAGTCTTCGTCTTGCTGGGTCGTGTACACTAAAGGCGACATGCTTGGTAGGTTTTTCCTGCGCTCGACTTCCAAAGTGTAAAGGATTTCACCCAGCATATGAAACTTGGGCATGTACTTCCATCTTGTGTAGCCCATGTTGAAGGATCTTGCCGCAAGCTTGTGAAAACATTGGATTGCTTTATGGCCTGTTTCCAGAAGGTACTCCCTCTCATCAGGTGTGAGAAACAGAGCGGAGTGATACAAACATCGCATGAAACAGTTCGCAGACCCTATGCATTCACACATATCCACAAAGAATGGCCGTGCATCATTGTCAAGGCTATCTAGTGTGTCTCCAATCCGATGCTGAAGAAAGTAGAGCAGGGAAGTGGTGTCGCTTCCTTTGAACCAGTTCCTCAGCACAACATAGATAGTTGCAAACATCAGCCCTAAACTTGAATCATAAAAAATCCAAGAATAAAGACACATGCATTGGGTTGAAAGTCCAAGGTTCCCTGAAGGGTACTCAGATGACTTGCTGTAACCCAGTAGTGTCCTCGTTATTCCAGTCATATTGAGTTGTAAGGAACACTGGTCGCAGTAAGTCTTCAGTTCGTCGAAGAAAGTCTGACATTTGTCATCGAAAGAGCTTCCCGCAAAAAGCTGGTAGTCGAACGCACAGACCTTGGTTGCGTCAGTTCTAACAACAGGGGCCGTGAATGTGGGAAGTTGATGCTTTAAAATGAACTTTGGTCAGAACCCAGGCATGCGTGCAAGAAGCGATTGTGTTGGCAGCGACGTCGGCAAAAACACCCTTATGAAGTGTGTGGAACAGGTCAACTTTGAAGAAACCAGCTTTGTCAGCGTCATCGACCGGTATTGCAGAGAGGAGGTGAGGCACAGTATTCCAAGGGGCTTGTGGATGGCGGTGCATTCTTGACATGCTAGCCCATGAAACATCGTGCCATGATTTACAATCCTCTTGGTCTGCGCGGCAAAGATGGCAGATGCCAACAGGTTTCTTGGCCGTTGACTTTGAACTGGTTTGCAAACGACCAAAGTGGCGACACAAGTTGCCTGCCTTGGCCAGAGCTGGCCAGTCCCCTTTGATGGCTACACAAACAAGGTAGATTGTCTGGGGTTGGTCATTCATGACGACCTCGATACCGGAAGTGAGGGCTTCTGTCAACTGAGCTGACAAGTGTCGCAACATCTCCTGCAAAGGTTTCTGTCCCCGCTTCTTGCCAGAATACAATCGGGCAAGCATGACACCCCACAAAAACCTTGATGTAATGCTGTCCCCCAACATGTTGCAACCTGGAACTTCGTGGGTGGCTCGAAAGCGTCGAGTTCCTTTGCCCATGATGGGCTGCCACTGGACAATCATTAGGCTTTTCTTCTTCAATGTAGTGCCTTCATCTAAGTGTACAGCGATGGGGACACATGACCCCAAATGCTCAGAGTGCCAATCAAACATGGGATGTGAAGGATATAGCTGCCTCCACTCTTTCCAGAACCCCTCGTAAGTTGAAGTCTTGTTCCCCATAAAAACCAGGTCCTGCTTGCCATGCCTCACAAGCGTGCGCAAAGTATCCCCAACGCTCAAGGTGGGATGTGTTTCCTTCAGGCCCACATCAATGTAGGTATAGGGTATGTCCACAGATAACCCAAAGCCAGCCAAGCTGTTGGACAACCGGCATTCATGACCTGTGCGCGACAGTCTGGTCGCCAAGTTCATGAATTTGGAACTTGGAAGCTTGGCATCTGGCAACAGACATGGAGACACCTCTTCCCAAAATGCCCGGACAATAGAGCAAGCTTCCTTCTCACTGACCTCAAGTTGACCTATAATCCCCCAATTCCTCACTTTGGGGTTAAACCAAAAAAGTCAACAAAATTCAACAATACACGTTTGTAGCCACACCCATTCAAGATGCACCCCTCGCCACTGCATTTGCAATAGCCCTTGCGGCAGGACCATGTCGAAGCTTCTGCTCGCCATCTTTTTTGGCGGATGGATGAGGAGTGGCACCTGCGTGGGAACACGAAGGAACAAGTCAAGACTGGGTGTAAGTATGCTAGCCACTTGCTGCGCGCACATGCGCACTTTTCCCCACTCAACCTTGGAGCTCACACGTCCATGAGAAGCTCAGATTAATTTCCCAAAGACTTCACATGGTTAGCTTCAGACCACGCAACCTAAAGTGCAAGTGCATTGCCTCATCTTCAGAAACAAGTTCATTACGCTGGGAGTATTTTTCCCCATAGACCATGCACTCATTTATACGCAGCACCTGTATGTAAGAGGGTTGGAGAACCTGGAGGCAACTGCTTGCAAACAAGCATGAAGCACAGGTTTGGCAAATGTTTCACACTGCGCTCGTGCTCGCCCCAACTTCCGTGCGCTTGCAGGAAAGAAGATGGCCTTGGTGCAGGGCCAAGTGGGGGGTTATAGTGTGCGCACGTAACTGAAAGTATTTCTTGTGAGCAACTGGCACGGGTGAGGGATTTTGCATTTCAAAAACTGGAATGTCACCCAACTGCAGCAAAATGACCTATTTCCTTGAAGATTTTCGTTCTTTTGTGGGACGCTCAGCGGTCTCATCAGCATCCTCGTCGTCAACGCTTCGCTTGGCCTTAGACCTAGGCGCGGCCTTCCCTTTGGCCTTTGCCTTCGCCTTGCCAGACGCCTTGCCATCAGGCTTGGTGGGCTTGGCGGACTTCAGGATTGTCCTCAACGACAACGAACGGGTCCACTTGAAAGCACATGCACGCACACAAGCACATGCATGCAATGCCAGAGTATGATGTGAGAATGGTTGTAGTTGTGATATACAATAGGAATCAGACTTCTTCAGCTTGGTGTCTTCCATCATGGCTCGGGATGACCTTGCTTTAGATCAATTTATCGAGAAATCATGAGTGTAGATGAGTGTAGAACATCACACGAACTAGAGGACTTGTGCGTGAATAAAACGAGGCAGTCGCTCAACCTCAATGTTTTGGACAACTTTGTGGAGGCCGTCAACTTTCCTCGGCGCAGATTCGTTGACAGGGGCGGATTGGGAGGATGAACAAAATACCTGAATCTGTCACATCGGCGTGCTTCTTTGTTTTTTGTTTGTGTCATAGTACGGAAAGTGCTACAAAGCATCCCTTGCTCGAAGCTGTCGTCACCTTTGTGACCATCAAAGTATGATTTCAAGTCTGCCAACTCATCGTGGTATTTCATCAAGTTAGTACGGAACTTCTCGACCTTCTTCACACTCCTTGGCTAAGGGCCCCCACAAACGTTTCTAATATTCATAAGCCATGAAAAGGAACAAGTGAACGTTGAAAAGGTCAAACACTATGTACTGCAAGTGCTGGGTGTCTCTTTGGCTTCAGCAGTTGCGATCTCCTCAAGTTTGCTACGAACAACCTCCATCCTGGTTTGTACCCTCAAAAGGTTCTGCATCACAGAGCCAACATTGTCGATGGCCTGTCAAGCAGTGAAGCAAAAGCAAACCTACTCCAAACAAGTAGACACAGACCATGTTCAAAATCCATATACTGGGTACCCCATCCTCAAGAGTGGATTCCTTTTGCACTTCAGCTTTGCCGGGAATTCGGGCACTGACACCATCGTCAAAGTCCTCCTCCACCTCTCGGTCGCTCTCATCACCTGCAGGTTCACCGCCTGGGCTATGGAGGTCAGACGCTGGGAGACCAAGATCGAACGTGGAAGCTTCCCCTTCACCGAAAGTGCGGTCGATCAGAGCTTCCTCATTTTCGTCCTCAAAAGACCCAGTGGTTTGCACGTCCACCCAGTATTCTTTGATGTTGCGCTCGTACTTGTCTCTCCTGCAATACAACTAGAATGGTGAATGGTGTGCAAAAAAACATGCAGGTGGAATGGGTTTGGTAGACACCTGGCCTCACGTGGGTCTTGACACGCCGCATATCAGTGCAGTAGGCGACAGCAGCCTTTATGCGTTCCCTTGGGTGCGGAGGGACCTCCCCAAAAAACACATTGCCGACAGATATATATATATTTCCAATCTCATATTCTCCTATATATGTTCTTCATTCGCATCAGTTTTGAATGCTATAGTTTGCATATTTGGAGAGCAACTTAGAACCAAACTTGCTCCACTTGAGCTCGGTCTTCATCTTTTCTTTTGTGTACCAACCTTTTTCCACGTGCA